CATGGGAATTCTTCAGTTACCTCGACAATCACATTCCTTGGACCAGACCCACCATTCACGTCTTTGGTCGATCTTGCATGCAGGTTCTCTTTTCCCCCCTTATAATTCCCTGTATTTTACTCGAAACTTTGATTTATGGGTTGTGGAAAGAAGCAATTTTTATATATTCTGTTTGCCACTAATCCAGGATCACTCTTTTAGCGTATTTGAAACTATGGGCAGCTTGTTTAGGATATAATCATGAACTGGTATCAATTGAAGATTCGAGATTAAGTCCATTGTCACTCTATCCATGGTTTAATCGACACACAATTTGAATGTTTAACTTGGTTAATGGTTTCTTAGTTTGGTATTTGTTTTGTAGTGGCAGTTGAAGAGTAATGTGGTATGCACTTTTTTGTGTTGGTTATGACCCTGTTTTGCCTTCTGTTGCATTTCTCTATGTTCCGTTGAAATTGTTTGCTTTTCGACAAATCACCGGTTTGGTATCTTCCCTTTTGAACTATTCTATACTCGATGATGGTCGCTGCAATTTCCAATTTTGTTGTTAGTGATGGATATATAAACAATATGATATTGATTTGCCTTGGAGAAAAAACATGTGTTTTAAGCAGGAATGGTTGATAATGCTACCTTTTGACATGGAGAAAAATAATCTGATATGGTCACCACAATTTTTTATTTTGTTGTAGTGATGGACATATAAATGAACAGATATCGATTTGTCTTGGATAAAAAAGCATGTTTTTTAAGCATGAATGGTTGGTGATTCTACCTTTTGGCAATCATAGATCACTGCAATTTTCAATTTTGTTGTATTGAATTAGTGATGGATATATAAACAAACCGATATCGATTTGCCTTTGAGAAAAAGCATGTTTTTTTAAGTATGAATGGTTGTGGTGTTACTTCTTTAATTTCAGTTCCACTAATCATTAATTCTGCATTTGCCTATGTTTGCAGCCAAGGGACACATGTTATGTAGCTAGTGCTGGATTGCCCGACTTGATTTACAGTGGATATCAGCCTCGTGCTTATTCTTGGGATGAATTCCCCCCGCTTAAGGACATCTTGGATGCGGTTAGTAGGCAGTCACCAGTGTTTACTATGCCTTTCTCTGGTTCCATCTAATGTGGTTGCTTATTTCTTTAAGGTCCATAAAATTCTTCCCGGTAGCATGTTTAATAGTTTGCTTTTGAATCGGTACAAAGGGGGTAGTGACTACATAGGCTGGCATAGTGATGATGAGAAGCTCTATGGATCAACCCCGGAAATTGCTTCTGTTTCTTTGGGTGAGATCGTGATTTCTTTTTGAAGAAGAGCAGCCCCAAGTCATCCCAAGGTGCAAAAGCTTATTTCGCTATAACCTTGTAAAATCCGTAGTGATTTCTTTAGTTTAATGTCGATTATCATCCCACCATGTTTTTAATATTATTTTCATTGATCTTATCTATGTATGTTGTTGCGGGTGGTAGAGAGATCTGGTGAGAAACCTCCATTGAAGAGGTTCAAGAAAAGCAGGCAAGATGATCAGCACCGTTTCGCACTTAAGCATGGATCACTGTTGGTAATGAAAGGGAACATACAACGTGATTGGCTACACTCCGTGCCTAAGCGTGCGAAGGCAGAGACAACTCGAATTAATCTCACCTTTAGGCGTGTTATGCAGGATTGAAGGGAAATGGTTGCAAGGAACTGAACCTGATGTTAGTAATCAATGGCTGTGTGCCCCTGTTTTCTTGGACAGCAGATCCTAATTTTGTGGCCAGCTTAGCTGGTTTAAGCAGCAAGCTTGCATATGATTTTAATGTTATTATGGATTTGTGAAGTATTATTGTTAATTGCATATAAACGTGGTCTGGTGTCTTCGTAATAGAAATATAAACTTTTGGTCTTCCCTCAACTTTATGAAAACTAAGAATTAGTCTTTTTATACTTCTATTTGTTATAATCTGATCCTCGTATTTTTATCAAAATTGAGATGTAAGTTTTGTTGATTAATTTATCGCACATATAAAATGGTATAATTGTTGATTTTTGCTAATTAGAGGAATTGAATTCTCAATTTTCGTGGTAGAACAAATTCAATAATTAAACCCAAATTTTCTAACCATAGTATGTAATTTAATTCCACTATGAATTAATTAATTTTTATAAAAGTTACAATTACAGATATAAGCAATATATTTGTATCATTATAAAAAAATAGATCAATACAATTGTGTAATTATAAATAAAATTAATCACCATAATGTACGAATATTATTGAAATTCATATGCCATACATGCATATATAAATCATATGGGAAATGGTCAAAACAAAATGGTTTTAACAACTTATTTGGCCCAAAAAATATGAAAAGATTATATTTTTGCATGGCGTATTATGCAAAGCCATTCAAAATCCGAAAATTCAGCTAGGGGATCTCTTCCAAATAATACACCAAACCTCTCCCTCCTCTCATTCCGGGCAACATTTCGTTTCCTTTGCCACCCCCATAAGTTCCGGTTCCATTTCGTCTTCAAAGGCTTCCATTTTCTCACCTGCGACCTATTGACTTCCGGTCAGATTTCTTCCCGGTCATCTCGATTTTCAGGCATTGCCATATTGATTTAATATTCATCTCATGTATGCATGCACGCGTGAACATGAACATTTACGTACGTTTAGATTAGAGGATGTAGGCAATGCATGCATGGATCCATGTATGTATGCATGTGAAAGTCGTATTGATGGAATGATGACATAACATCCGCAGGTTAATGAAATTTGTTTTTTGAAGAAAGATAGGAAAGACGAGAGAAAAGTGGTGAACATTTACCGGCTTGCCCAAAGCGAACGCGTCCCCACCAGCGGTTCGCCAAAGGCGGAGGTAGGAGAGATCGATTCCAGAGCGCCGTTTCATTCCGTCAAAGCCTCCGTTAGTTTATTCGGTGAAGTTGCCGTTACCAAGGAACGTCGCACTCCCAGAAAATCAAGAATTTCAGCAGAGGTAATAAAACGCAACGCAAATGCCTATTCATTTTATATACGGTAAAATTCTCGTACAGTTCCCTTTACTTCAACGGAAAATGCATTTTGATCCTTTTATTTTTAGCATTATCAGTGCAAGCAAAATGATAATTATGTAACAGTTAAAAAAATAAACTGCTGCATTTAATACAATGCGATTTCATACCTTTCTTAATCAATTAAATGCACTGGATCAGGTAAATATATCACTTCACTTTAAAATATTATTTAAATTTTAATTTAAATTTTAATTTAATATTCATAATTAAAATGTAAAGGGACTAAAATGTACTCTACACTATAGTATAGGGACCTGTACAATACTTTTTACCTTGATAGTTATTATCGAATTACTCCATCAAGATTATCTGTTTAAAAATTTACTCCTTTTGCCAGAATGTTATAGACAAGGAGACACAGCTTCTTCTAGCTGAGAAAGAATTCAACCATATCAAGCAAAAGCTAGAGAGTGATGAAGCCACGAAGGCTAAAGCAGATAGTGAACTCGAAAGCGCAAAGCAAACATTGCAGGAATTGTCTGAGAAACTTAAAGCAGTAACCGAGTCGAAGCAATACACAATCGAAGCAGCCGAAGCAGTCAAGCAACATGGCACTGAATTTGATCCCTCGAAATCGCAACACAGCCAAGAATACGAAACGTGGAAAAAAAGAAATTGAGTCGGCGAGGGAGCAATACCTTGCCGTTGCGACTGAGCTCGATGCCAAGAAGCAAGAGCTGGATAAAATCAGGCAGGATTTTGATGCGGCGTTGGAAGTCAAGCTGGCGGCGTTCCAACAAGCTGATGATGCACACCTTTCAGCTAAAATGCATTCGGAAAGGGCCACTGAGCTCACGAAACAAATCGTGGCCATGAAGGAAGCTATCAAGCAAGTGAAATTTGCTACGCAACAAGTGTACAATGAACAAGAGACTATTGCAGAAGAGAAAGAGATGTTGAAAAAACCTTACGAGGCTACTAAGGAGGAAGCTGAAAAGAAATTCAGTGCTTCGAGGGAAGTGTATGATCCCGAGTTAACGAAGTTTCTTGAACAAAAGCTAATGGAAACTACAGCCGAGGTCGAAAGGTTACAAGAAGAGATGAAGAAGGTCCATTCTTTATAAATGGATTCTGTTAGACTTCTAACTTCGGAGCTTAACAAAGCTACAATGACGCTGCAAATGGTGGCCGGTGAAGAGTGTTCTCTTTGGAATTTAGTGAGCTCCATTAGGGTGGAGCTTGAAGAGGTGAAGATGAAACAAGCACAACAAAATGCTATTAAGGCAAACAAAGAGGCTAAAAGGGAATCTCTTAATGATCATAATGTTAGGCTGCAACAGCTTCTACTAGAAGCCGAGACTGCAAGAAAAGAGGCTGAAGAGATGAAGAAGATTATTGAAACGCTGAAGAAAGAAGGCGAAGTGGCGGAAATGACAGTGATGGAGGTAAAGGAAAAGCTAGATTACACATTGGAATAGGCCGAAGAGGCGAAAGCGGCAGAGAAGAAGGAGCTCAATGAAATGCGGGTATTAGAAAAGGGGATCGATGACGGGAAGATAAGGCTTTCCAAGGAGGAATATGAAGCACTGCAAAAGAAAATTGAGAAATACGGGAATATGTCGGAGCAGAAAATATCCATTGCAATGGCAGAGCTGGAAGCAATAATCACAAGCAAAAATTAAACGGATGAGAAGGTGGAAGAAAACTTGAAAGTGATTGAGGAAATCAAGGCCGCGACAGAGCTAGCAGAGAAGTCAGCAATGATGGCAGAGGCAGCACAGAACATGATCGAAGGTGAACTTAGAAGACGGTGTCAACAGGAAGAGGTAGTTGCAGCATCTTAACACTTAAAAAGGCAGCTGCAGCTTCCATGTATCAAAGTGAGAACATTATTCATATATATGCATAAAGAGATTGATAATATCAAACTTAATTTATAGACCTTTTGGCATAGAGAAAAGGTTAGTATTTCGAGTCGAGTCTCCCTAGTAACAATGTTCACAAGTATTTTTCAACCTAGTCAGAAATACACAAGACAGAACGAAAAGGAGATCATATACCACGTAGGACATAAACTACAACTCCGTTCTTGAAGCTTTTCCCAATTGATCGTCATTTCTGATTGATATCCTAGATAAAGGATCAAACTGGTCAGCCACGAAATCTGATCGTGTTTGTTGGTAGGAGGCACTTTTGCTAGAGTCCAATATGCGGTGTGGAAGTACCATATTGGGTTTAGAAAATGCTGCAGCTGTGCTCAACCGTTGCTTCTTTATCAACCTCTCGCCCTTAGCCTTCCCTGATGAGGAACCAACATGGCAACCGGAATCTGGGGTCAAAGGCTCACATGGAGACGATAAAGATTCATCAATAGAGTGGCTCTTAGTAGGGGCTCCTTCTGTAGCAGCCTTATATGGTAGAGGGGATTCTGAAGTTGGGGCTGGAGTTGCAGGGTCAGTCTTGTCATATTCCAGGCCATTGTCACCCCATGCTGTGAGAGAAGCTCCACATCCAGGTGTTTCTGCAAGGACTTCGCTAAGATGCTGTTGCTCCTTGATAATTTTCTTTAAATACTTTCCTTGAGCCTCTATCCGCTGTAGACACCCGTTTTTGTCCGGGTCTTTTTTGTATATTATTATCGTTATTATTATTATTATTATTATTATTATTATTATTTAATTTACATTTACAAATTTTTGCAGGCCTAATCCCTAAGCCCAACAGCATATCCAACAAGCTGGAACAGACCCGGTTCAGGCCCAATACCAATCCCAGGCCCACTTGACAATCCAGCTAGGGTTTCATCTCAATGGTCCAGCCGCCTCATTTCTGGCCGTTGGATCTGGACCCATCCAACGGTCCAGATCACTCAGAGCTTAGGGTGAAACCCTAAAATATCATCCAATAGCCAACCGCCGCCGCCGTTTTTTCCTTCCATCTCAGCCGCGTCGAGCCACCGTGGAGCACTCCCGAGACGCCGGTGCCATCAACAAAGGCCACACAGTAAAACAAATCAGTCAATTTGTCAATCCATCAACTAGAATCAAAACCCTAAATTAAAAAATACCTAAATCCCGATAAATCGGGATTTTTGTCCCTACCAAGATCAGAGACCCTTACCCCTACGCTAGCATCATCGTCATCTCACCAAACGAAGCAAAATCGACCATAAATCAAGCAGATATCAGAGAAAATGAGGGGTGGGTCATTCGGGTAAAAAAAAAAAAAGAGAGAGCATTCGAAAAAAAAGAAAATAACGTAGAGAGAAGAAAAAAAGTCTTACCCTTGTAGATCTATCCCTTATCAACCTCACCAGAGCTTAAAAACCCTGAATCGAAGGTAAAACGTTTTTTTCTTGAATCTAGGTTTGGATTAACAGGGGTTCTCGGTTTTTTTTTGGGGTGAAGGGTTGGGTTTTCAAAGGAAATGAGGAAGAAAAAGGATTGAGGGTCTTTAGGGGTCGGTTTTGCTCCCCATGGCCACCGATACGGTGGCCGGGGAGCCTCTGTTTGGTTGTTGCGGCGAGGGAGAAAGGAGAGTAGAGAAAGGGAAAGGAAAGGAGGCTGAGAGAGGGGTGAAAATGATTTAGGGTTCGGTTAATAACCCTAAAATGGGATTATATCCCAGTTTCAAAAACGACGCCGTTTAGAGGTTTCCGTGTTTTCATATTAAGGGGTAAACTACTCTTTTGGTCCCTGATGCTTTGTAACCGTATTATTTAGCCATTAAATGAAGTTTCATTTATTTGATTTCAGATTCTGATGTTTCCTTATTTATATTTTAGTCCTTTTATTATTTGTTAAGTTATTTTTGTTAATATTTGACATTGGTCACTATATTTGTGAATATATTATTTTAGCCCTTGGCTTGTGTATGGTTTAATTCCTATTTAGTCTTTTAGGTTTCAGTTTTCCTATTTGAGTCTCCTTTTATTTCTTGTTATATTTTCGTCCTAACATATGTGTTGATGTTTATGACAATTTTTATATATCAAGCCTGGAATTTGTGAAATGTTTATTTCAGTCCTTAAATTTTCTGTAATGTTAGTTTGGTTTTATGCCTATTCAGGTTTATTGATTTGTGATTAATTTATTTTGATCATTGTATGTATATTAATGGAATTTATTAACATTTATGTTTTAGTCTTTAAACTGGGTTGCCTTCTATTTAGTCCATCTTTGTTCTTAGTTTTTATTTTCGATGAGGTTTATGATTTTGATCATCTGTTTTGCATCCTTTTCATTTCGGTCCTTTATGTTGGCTTGTGGGTACGATTGGGATTAATATTTGATTTAGGCTTAAATTTTCTTTTAGGTTCATCTTAGTCACTATCCTAGGTATTATAACATTTTTTGGTTTATATTTGGTTCTGGTTTCAATATTTATAAATGTTACATCTTAGCCACTGATTTAATATTCATGTATGTTTCTTTGATATTCGAATCTGGCCATCCCATTTTTTAAAATACTTTATTTTAGTCCTATTAATGTATGTTATGTCATTTTTGTGAATATTTGACTTTTGGACATTATGTTTGTAATAGTTTCATTCTAGTCCTAAGTTCTTGTGTTGTGATATTTTGTGGATGTTTGAATTCAGCCATCATATTTGCAAATGTTCTATTTTGGTCACTGTCTGACATTTTATTTAATTACTTTTTGATCCTCCATGTTTCTGTGAAATTTCAATTTAGTCATAAGCTTTACTTTTGGGTTATTTTCACTTCTAGTATTTGACTGTTTAATGTTTGTGATATGGGCTCTAAATTATTTTTATTTTTTATTTAGTCCTTTAAATTTCGGTTAGTGCTATTTTGGTCCATTAACTTTCTGTTTTTTGCTGTTTAGCCCCCTAAGTTTCTGTTTCTATTATTTTAGCCCCTTAAATGTTTTATATTTATTTTGGTTTGTAATATTTACTAATTTATTTTTAGACATTTATGTATGGATGTGTATTTTACTCATTAGTTAATTATTTGGATTATGTAAATAATGTTTTCAATTTCATTTAATGTAAATATTTTATTTTGTATTTCCAATTACATTTATTTTCATTATATCTTTATCTATGTAAGAAATATTCGATTATATTTTCAAGAACACGTATGCGTAGAATGGGCGTGGAAAGTACCACTTGGTCGAAGTGGTACGATCCGATACGGCATTTTAACGACATAGGAACTTGCCACAAGTCGAGTATATTTTACTAATTAATTTATTTTAATAATGCAATGTGTGTTTTTTAATTCAGTATTTATTTCATTTTTATTTGAATGCAAACGTTAATTTCATTTATATTCGATTTGCATATTTATCAATGAGGGAATATTCTTTTATTAACTAGAAATAGTCGAGTTAGCTTTCCTGATGGAGGATTACTAATTTCGATATTTCTTTTCGAGTTAAAGAATTTTCTGTAATTAATTTATTCGAAGCAAATTGATTAAATTTCAAATAAAAGGATCACATCTTAATTTTATATTCGATTTGTAATTTCCACAATCACGACGATATGTAAGCGACACAGTACCAATTTTGGGCGTTGTAGGGGGTGTTTATCCTTCCCCACACGTAACCGACTCCCGAACCTGTTTTAAATGAATCTTTGGTAACGTAGATCAAATTTTTGTCTTATAAAACTATTTTTCTTAAAATTGTTTTTAAAAGACGTTTTTAGGTATTCGACCTACCTAACCCAAAGGTCGATGGCGACTCATTTTCAATTTAATTTTAATTAATCCAAAATCACTCAATTTTTTTTAATTAAAGTCGTAATCGTTTTTTAAAAAATATTTAATTGTTTTACAAAAAATGGTTATGACAGCTTGGCGACTCTGCTGGGGACCTTTTTTTTTAGAGAGTCAAGCTGTATGTCGCTTACACATTGTCGTCTTGGTGGAAATTATGATTTTTAGTTTTAGTTAATTTATGATCCGTTTATTGAAATTTTTAATTGCTTCGTTTTTTTCGTACTAACATTTTATTTTTGGCTTTCAGCTTTGTCAGGATTTTATCATTTTTCCTTGTTTTGTTTTCCTTTTGGGTCGAAGGTAGGTATGTTCCTCCTCGCACACATCACTCGCATTTGCATAACATAAGCTCTAGACACGAGCTTCGATCCAAATTAGTCGGGGTGATTGCTTTACTCTCGTAAGGATTTATTCTTCGTATGAGTTTTAGCAAATAACCCATGGGATACATACCTTATACCTTCGTAGGAATTTATTCCTCGCATGGGTATAAGGTAGTGAATCCCCTCGAATTGAACTCGTTCCGCTTGAAACCTGTAATGGGTGAGGATCGAGGGTTTGGCAGCCCAAGGGGGCACCGACATCAAGGACAATTCGAGTCCCTTTTTTCCGTTAGAGCCGAAACCAAGCATATAGTGAGCCGTCGAACGATCACCCTAGGTATAGTCATACCGAACCTTTGTTCGTCGGTAGGTACCCAAAATAGGTGTACACGAAGGAGGAACGACTCTAAACCTTAACCTTTTAAATTTGTAGAATATATTTTTCCGAATAAAGCATGCGAACTAGATACCATGCAGTTAGGACCAATTTCTTGAAAATAGATCATTTTGGGTAGATAGCATGTCCGTGTAGGATTGTTATTTAATTGAAAGCATGTTTGGGTAGATATCATGACGGGGTAGGTGTTATATCCATCTCTGAATTACATTTTATTTGTATCAATTATTTTACATGTACTAACTTATTTTTCTCTTTTGTTTATACTAACTTATTTCTTCTCTTTGTTTGTGTCATTTTGTCATTTGCATTGCATTGCATTGCATCATCATAATGCAAAAGTGTTGATCCGTAAGGGGATATTCGAGAGAAAATTTTCACAAGAAGAGATAAAAGTTTTCAATCAAGCGATCGCATACACAGACATGTATCGAGGGCTAAAAAGAAGTCCAGAGTACAAGAATGAGATTTCTCGAAGATCGTGCATCATTCGAGACTGATATGATAATCCACTGATCTAAGGAGTAATCCAGCAGTAGATTCTCATCCACAATTATCCCATCGTTAACCATCAGGGAGTGAAGCACAAACTTCAGCATAGCCGAGGCATTAACGGAGTCAGATTACAGAGCGCTTGAGGGGCATCATTATTGAGGACGAAGATCCGATATGAAGCAGTGATCCATTCCAGGCTCACCATCTAAGCGAAGACATGTCTGTAAAGTGGACTGTCTTGTAATGTGAAATTTTTTATCTCTGGTGGGAATTGTTCTACGGTATTTATCGTTGGGATCCACATTTCTGCATTTGCATTTGCATCGTTGCATTTTGCATAACATTCATTTAAGCATGTTTACATGCATTAATCATACCTTGCTGGAAACTTTGAGGAAGCACTTCTAACTGTGCAATTGCATTCACACAGTACTGAGAATGGATGCAAAATTTGAGGAATTAAAGAAAGAGCTGAACGAGAGTTTGCAAAAGATGCAAGTTGAGTGGGAGGTTAAAATGGAGCAGATGCAAAAGACCACCGTGGATCGTATCTTACAAAACCAAAAAGACCTAGTTGACCAAATGGTAGCAAAGATGGCTGAGCTCAACCAAGAAAAAGGCAAA